CTGTCAATTTGTTGTTGTTTACTGTTAGTTTGTTGTTGTTTACTGTTAGTTTGTTGTTGTTTACTGTTGGTTTGTTGTTGTTTACTGTCAGTTTGTTGTTGTTTACTGTTAGTTTGTTGTTGTTTACTGTCAGTTTGTTGTTGTTTACATATTACATGCTAACAATAATAGCTTGAACGTGGGCCTGCAGGTCTTGGGCGTCCCCTCTGAGGACAGCTGGCCAGGGGTCAGCCAGCTGCCCAACTACAAGCCAGGTGAGTTCACCTGTCCCAACGCTGCAGCTCATAAATGGAGCTAACAGCACTTCTGACGCTAGCATGCTAATCGTTTGTCTTTGCAGAGTGGTTCCTGCCCTCCAAGCAAAAGCCGTTCAGGACCGTTTGGAAAAGGTAAGCTAGCTGTGAAAGCGTTAGTGCTCATCTAGTTTTATGACAACATGTTAGCCTGGAGCTAACTGCTAATGGCTGGAAAATGCACGTAGTTAGTATGGAGCAGCATGCATGTAGCATGCTAAAGGGCTGGGTAATGGATTACACTGTACCAGGACGGTCCTGTGCAGCGTCACCTCAATGTGACAGTAATCAGATTACTTCTGAGTAGAACAGTAAAGTTTCTGCTGTGGTGTCAGCTGTTTCCATTCACTGTGGCAGACGTACTGGTGGGTTTAAATCATTCTGGACTTTCATTCATTTTGAATGAGTTTCAGATCACTGTCAGGACCATGATCCACTGTGGTGGTCCTGGTCAGGTTCACACCAAATATCTGGACTCCATGTGAGCCCAACACATTGATCTCCATCTGACCAGAGGATGTTCTCCAGCATCCATCAGGCTTGAGCTTCCAGTTTGGGGCCTGAGTTTCCAACATGGTCTCCTGTCCAGCTGAGAAACAGGCGGTTACTTAGAGGTGTGCTCACCTCATCATCTGTTCCATGCTGTAGATCAGGTGTTTGTGTCGTACCTGTTGATCCTGATCAGGCTGAACCAGCTGCCCTACAAGACCGAGGACCTGGTCCAGGACATGTTGAAGGTTGTTCCTGCAGACCGGATCTCAGCCCAGGACTCCCTGCAGCACCCGTACTTCAGCACTCTGCCTCCTCCCATCATGCACCTCCGAGACAGTAAGAACGCAGCCACATGCTAGCACAGTTAGCATTTCCATGCCAACATGCTACATACCTGCTAACAGCCATCTCAAGCTGAACTTTAAGTTTCTCTGATTTCAGCGACGTCCATCTTCAAGGTTCCCGGCGTTCGTCTGGAGACGGAGGTCAGAGACATTTTCAACCCTGGACGGAGGATCAAACCGTCCGTGCTGCCCGCCGCTAAGTGTTGGTGAGCAAACGGTCCAATCAGGGACAAGACGAACCCGCCGACTGTCGTACGTGACTCATCGGAAAGAGTTTTAAGTCATTCACGTATTTACAGAGAGACTGGAGGGGAAGATCTAACCAACGCAGTCTGAATGTGCTTGTTCTGTAAAAGTTGAAGAAATGTTGGAAAATGAAGCATCAGCGATTAAATTCAAACATGTTGCTCTCTGCAGCTGTCGGCCTTGAATGAAATCTCTGATCTGGTCACAAGATGGACATGTTTAGCCTAGCTTAGCACAGATGCCAGAAGTTGGGGGAACAGTGAGCGTAGCCTCAATGTTAATAGTAAGTAGCATTAACTCGGAAAGTAGCTTACCAGCAAATCGGCAAAACATGAGGTGTGTTAGCAAACATAGCGCATTGCAGCTAATTCTTGCTGTTAACCTGCTAATGAAAGATGACTATGATACCATAAGTCGTTAGCTTAGTAGCATAGACAAAAGACATAATGCCACTACTAAGGCATCGAGACACAATCTGACACTGAGAAACGCTAACATGCTTCTATCACTAATATATTGTTTAGCTGCATCTGTTTTTTTTTACAATAGCTTTCAGTTTATAGCTTTATGTAGGCTAACACTTAGTATTAATTGAAGATTAGTACTGTCTCTTTGGCTTCTAGCTCCAATTGCCTCAGCATGCTTTAGCATCAGCTAGCTAGTTAAATGCTTATCTAAATGTGTTATGACTTAACAGTTTTAGATCATAAGACACGAGCAGACTTTTAGGGAGTTTGTTTTCTGGTAAGAGGATAGACATGTCTATCTAGCTTAGCTTAACTATGCTACTCTAGCACAAATGCCAAAAAAAATAAAAAATCTCCTGGCCTTTTTACAATGGGGAATAAGAAACCTTAGCTGAGAAGCTAGCTTAGAAACTCATTAATCAGTTAAGTGTGGGCAAGAATGTGTTAGCAAGCACAATACATGACAGCTAACACAGCTAACCTGATAACTAAAGGTTACTGTCATCCCATAAGTTTGTGGTAGCTCTGGCAAATGTTGACATAGCTTCATGCTAACAGACTCACATATTATCACAGCTGCAATGCACAGTTGCACACTAACATGTTGAGTCCCTTGCCAAGCATAGCATATGGCAGCTAACACTTACAGCTAACCTGTTAAATAAAGTTTACCGTTATTCCATAAGTTGTTAACTTAGTAGCAGACAAACGCTGACATATTACTACCAACAGACATCCAAACACACGCCAACACTAAAGAAATGCTAACTTGCTAATATGACATGCTTTTATTGCGTTTTATTTTAATTTAGCTGCTGGTTGGTGGTTTTGTGCAGGGTAACAGTTAGCATTTAGAAAGACTAGTGTTGCCGCCTAAGCACATAGCTCCAACTACCTCTGCATCAGCTAGCAAGATTAATGCTAAGCTTAATGTCAATCAAATTAGCAGTGTTAGCCTATTATGTAGCATTAGCAGGTCACAAAAAAATGTTAGCATTGCAGCAGAGTTTTTCTGTTTCAATAAAGAATTTCTGTTTTAAATAAAGATTTCTACATTAAACTTTCCTCAGATTAGCTGTTAGCATGTTAGCATGAAGTGGCCACAGAAATGCGGGGTGTCACATTAAAGTTTTTCTGAGCTGAATCTTCGCATGTGGAAATCTCATCTAATGTCATTTATTGTTGATCTAAATGTGAAGCGTCCCCTCGGTCTTCTGTTTTGCTGTTAGCATTCGTTAGCATGTGTTAGCAGCAGCTTAATGAGGATTCTCTGTGAAGACGTCCCCTGAAACTCTGCATGAATAATGAATGAAGCTGATTAAAGCTCCCGGCTGACTCTCGCTAACCGACATGTTTGTGTCGTAGCGAGCGGCCGCTGCCTTCACAGGAAAACTTTATTAACACACAAAGAAACAGACGAAGCTGCCGACAGCAGAACGAATCAAACAATAAAACGCATCAGAGTGAAAACAGCTGGACTTCATCATTTCTCTGACTCCATCTGTCTGATGATGATGTTCCTCCTCAAACACACTAAAAATGAAATCCTGGAATCCTATAAAACAAGCAAACTTTAAAATACTGTAAAAACAAATGGTGTTAAACACACAGACACACTGGAGGACACCTGCAGATACAATCATCCACAGTGAAACACCGTCAGACAACAAACATACAGAAAAAAGCCATAAAACAAACGACTGCAAAACAACAGAACACTGACAGTACTGTTATACGTACTCCAAACTACAGAGAAAGACTATCAGACATCAGAAAATAATCTACAAAAGTCCAAAACATTAAAAAAAACTACTGTGACACACACAGAAACACTAAAACGCAATAAAATACAATCCTGTGGAAACAAAAACACAAAAATCACTGAAACATTCAATGAACCAATGTGGAGATGAAACATCTTTGCAGTGTTTTGTGGATATTTTTGTAATTTTAGTCACTCGTTGACCATTTAGTCATAAGATTTTAACAGATTTTTTGCAGTGTGCTGATCCAATCATTAAAAATGGATTGATTAATGCTAACATTAGCATTAGCACTCATCTGGTCTGATGACTCCGATTCACGCTAACTTTAAACATCACAACCTAATGCACTTTGCTAATGACATGCTAACACTCAGCCTTGAAAGAAAGCTTCCTGCTGCTGCTAGCCATACGTGATAATGTTAGCAGGGTTGAACCTTTAGCAGTGGCTAACCCCGTATTTACACATTATTTAGTTCTTGTGGGATTTTTTGTTTTTTGGTTCCTTCTCGTTTCACTGTTTGCTTTTAAAGGAAGTCTGACAGCAGCCTTCGAAGCCTTTGCGCACCGCTGGTAGCTAGTTAGCCAGATATGCGACACTAGCAGTGGTGACTCACTATTTACACATTAGCTGTTGCTTTTGGCAGTAAACTGAGGCTAAAGCTGACTAGTTCAGACAGTTAGCCGCACATGCTAAAGCTGGAGCAGATTCACTCCTTTTGTCTTTTGCTGTTGTTCTGAGAGACAAGAATTCAGATCATTTGTTGGAGAACGATGCTAGTTTTCGTTAGCTCTATTTTCTGTTCATGTTTTTATGATTTTTAGCTTCTTGCTTTGTTCAGTTCAGTTATTTTTATTTACAGCTCGTTCAGCTCTTTGGTTTCAACTTGTGATGGTTTCTTTGACACGTCTAATTAACTTCAAAACTAAAGTTTGGTGAAAACTTTTCCCGTTGAGCTGTTCGGACGGTTTCATATGTAAATATAGAATTTATCATTTGACTGACAGAAAATCAAATGTGGTTTTGTTGCCAGCATTTGATTGATTGGAGGGATGAAAGAGAAACAGGAAGGTGTTTGTGCATATTTAACTCTGTTTGTGTTCGTCTACGTTTGATGAGAGAAAATTCATTCTAATGTGGTCATTAATAAATCAGACGCAGCAGCCTTTGATATTCAGACGTGTGGCGACTTCAGACGAGTTATTTTTATTCTAAACAACAAAGTTTTTCTTGGTTTTCTGTCAGTTTGCTGCAGCGTTCGCGTCGCTGCTGGTTACTCTGACATGTAGAACCAAAATGACAGATTTCAAGCATTTCACCCCGAAAACACAAAAATCAACTCAAATATCGTCTTTACGGCAGCAGAAGGTCAAATGTGCCGTTCGATGGAGCTGAAACAACACACTAAAACAGAAAGCTAGCTGTAGAACTAGCCTGAGCTAGCCTTTGCTAAGCTAACACTACATTTAGCTAGTGTGTTTTCTCTTAACGTAACTTTTTAAAAACATCAAACTAAAATCTGACGTCCGTCTGTTTCAAACAATTATTATTAAATGTTACGTTTACAGAAACTTTGATGCTAAAAACTGCCAAATGGCTAGCAGGTGAAATAACCTGAGTTAGCCTTTGCTAAGGCTAACACTACATTTACGACAGCTACATGTAAATTTAAAAACATCCATTCACTAATTAAATGAAGCAGCAGCTGAATGTAATCAGGAACTAAGCTAATGCTAACGCTAACTTTTCTTCAAAACAAATACGGCATTTTCTGCAAACACTGAGATTATTTGTCTCTCAGAAGGTCTGTTTTTTAATGATGGATTCTTTCTCCACCAAACAGCTTCAGGTTTCTGATGAAACACTTTCTCATGTTTATGTGTCTCTGAGCAGATCCGTTTATTTTATTTGGTCACAGTTTGTTTCCTCCTGTTAACCTTCAGTCACTCTAACATGTTACTGCAGTGGATCTCGTGCTCCTGAGGTTTTGATGAGTCCTTGTGTTGGTTCTGGTTCCTCTTTGTGTTGGTTCTGCTGACCTGCAGCTCGTGTTGATCACATGATCGTTTAAATCCTGTTGACTGGTTGTTGTAAAAACGTCTCCTGAAGCTGAGTTTAATCAGCTGAGTGTTGGTCTGGTTCACGTTGTGTCTGCGACGCCCTCTGACCTCCCACCGATCACCAGGTGGACATCTGGTACCGGAGCGTGTAGCAGCTGGACCCTCTGAGACATGAACAGAACCTGATCTGCTCAGAGTGTCTGATTCCTGACGAGGAGTCAGTGTTGGTTCTGTGTTGAGTTCAAACACAAAGACATGAAACCACTGTGCTGGTCTGTCAGCCAATCAGCAGCAGCGATACAACAAGGCTCCTGATTGGAGGACGGTGCTGCTTAAAGCAGACATCAGAGACGGATCCTGCAGAACTGAGGTAGAAGCAGCACATCAGAACTTCAGCTTCACCGCCAGCAGAACCTTCATCCTCATGTTTGGGTCCATCTGCTGCTGCGTCGCGGTTCTGCTGCTCCTCTGGCCGGCCGGCGGGCAGCACCAGGACTTCTTCGGCCCGGATCACGGCCTCTGCCGGCCCATCTCCATCCCGCTGTGCAGCGACCTGGAGTACAACCGGACCATCCTGCCCACCCTGCTGGGCCACGACAGCCAGGAGGAGGCCGGCCTGGAGGTCCACCAGTTCTACCCGCTGGTGAAGGTCCAGTGCTCGGCCGAGCTGCGCTTCTTCCTGTGCTCCCTGTACGCCCCGGTGTGCACGGTTCTGGACCGGGCCATCCCGCCCTGCCGGGCGCTGTGCGAGCGGGCGCGGCAGGGCTGCGAGGCGCTCATGAACAAGTTCGGCTTCCCGTGGCCGGACCGGCTGCGCTGCCAGAACTTCCCGGTGCAGGGCGCCGGAGAGATCTGCGTGGGCCAAAACACCAGTGATGGTGCCGCCTCCGACCCGACCTCGAGCCTCCCCGAGCTCCTGACCCGGTCCTCCCAGCCCTTCTCCTGTCCCCTGCAGCTGCAGGTGCCGCCCTACCTGGGCTACCGGTTCCTGGGGGCCCAGGACTGCGGCGCCCCCTGTGAGGCGACCCGGCCTGGTGGACTCACGTACTTCAGTGAGGAGGAGGTGAGGTTCGGGCGACTGTGTGTCGGCGTCGGGTCGGGCCTGTGCACCGTCAGCAGCCTCTTCGCCGTGCTCACCTACCTACTGGACGTCCGGCGGTTCCATTACCCAGAGAGACCCGTCGTGTTCCTGTCTGGCTGCTACGTCGTGGTGGCGGCGGCCTATGGCGCCGGCTTCCTGCTGCAGGAGCGGGTGGCATGTGTGGGCCGGTTCAGGGAGGATGGGTACCGGATGGTGGCTCAGGGCACCGGACAGGTGGGCTGCACCACCCTCTTCACTGTCCTCTACTTCTTCAGCATGGCGAGCTCCATGTGGTGGGTGGTTCTGTCTGTCGCCTGGTTCCAGTCTGCCGCAATGACCTGGGGTCATGAGGCCATCGAGGCCTACTCGCAGTACTTCCACGTGGCGGCCTGGATGGTGCCGGCGGTCCAGACGGTGGCCGTCCTTGCGTCGGGGAAGGTGGAGGGCGACCTGCTGACGGGCGTCTGCTCCGTGGGGATCCACGACGCGGCGGCGCTGCGAGGCTTCGTGGTGGCGCCGCTCTGCATCTTTCTCTTCGTTGGCGCCGCCTTCCTGCTGGCCGGCTTTGTACCGCTCCTGCGGATCAGAACCGTCATGAAGCACGGCGGCACTGAGACGCAGAAGCTGGAGAAGCTGATGGTGCGGATCGGCGTGTTCGGCGTGTTGTACACGGTTCCCACCGCCGGCGTCATCGCCTGTTGCCTCTACGAGCTTCACTTCCGGCCGCGCTGGGAGGCAACATGGCGGCTGCAGACCTGCGAACGCTTCGCCGTGCCGTGTCCGACCGGACGCTCTGTGCCGAGCTCGCCGGACTTCACCATGTTTGTGGTCAAACACCTGATGAGCCTGATGGTCGGCATCACGTCCGGATTCTGGGTTTGGTCGAGAAAGACGCTGCAGTTGTGGCGACGCTTTTACCAAAGACTGAAGTTTTGAACGCTGTGAAGCAGAACCTTCAGGGCTCTAGTTGGACTGTTGGGCGTCAGGTGGTAAAGGTGAAGTCCAGCCTGCCTCCTGGATGAGGTCGGAATGGTCCGGAAGGTACAAAAATAAAAACCGACTTAGTTAAAATCTGTCACAAATGAAAAACAAAATGTCTCAAAAAAAAAAAAAAAGGTGAAATGTGCTCAAAGTGACTAGAATCTGTACAGAATTAGAGACGGCCCGGTAGCTCGACCCGATAGGACCAGGAGCTGAAGTCCTCGATGCAGCAGTCGTGAGTTCGAATCCTGTTAACAACCATTTTGGGCTGCAGGTGTCTCAGTGGTTAGCACCGTGGCCTCACAGCTAGAAGGTCGCCGGTTTGCGTCCCGGTGAGGACACCCGGGATCTTCCTGCGTGGAGTCTCCATGTTCTCCCCGTGCAGCGTGGGTTCTCTCCGGGTTCTCCGGCTTCCTCCCACAGTCCAGAAACATGCTGAGGTTAATTGGTGATTGTAAATTGTCCGTAGGTGTGAATGTGAGTGTGCTTGGTTGTCTGTCTCTAAGTGTAGCCCTGTGATAGACTGGTTACCTGTCCAGGTGAACCTGCCTTCACTCTGAGTCAGCTGGGATAGACTCCAGCCCCCCATGACCCTGGTGAGGATGAAGGTGTAGAGATGATGGATGGATGTACAAAAGGAGTTCAGAATTGTTCAACACTGGGCGCCTCGGAAGCTCAACCAGGTCAGACCCGCTAAGACGAGCTGTAGTCCCGACCCGCTAAGACGGGCTCTTGTCCCGACCACGACTCGTCTCGTCTTTCATGTCTCTAAAAGAGAAAAGAAAGTGTTTCAAATGAACTTCAAGTTTGTCTAAAATATTTTCTGGCTTTATGACATAAAACTGTTGGAGGTTTATCAGAACAAGCTGGACCTGACCCGCTGATGAACTCGTCCCAGATGTTCTGTTCACCACCACCAGATCTGATTGATCAATGTCCGAAAATGTCACAATTATGAGTGTTTTTTTAATGTATTTTTATTTTTAGAAACACTGCAGTTAAATTAAAAACACGTCAACATGTCGGATTAGATTTTTAAGAACATCCAAGTTTCTGTTCAGATTCTGTTCTGGTTCTGAAAACTTCACTCAAGAAGGTTTCAGTCCAAACGTGGAGAACGCTTTAGAAACGAGGAGCGACGTCTTCATGAAGCTTTCAGATGTGTTGATGACAAATAAACAGTGATTGAGAACAGACTGATGGTTGTGGGTCCTCCTGCTGCTGGCTTTATGCTCTCTTCATTTAATTCTGTTTGAATTCATTCAACGAATGTTTCCCTGACAACGGCTCTGTGTGGACATCACCGACTAACGAGCTGAAGCTTCACGGACTGTTTTCTGTAATTTGAAGAATCTGTGAAATAATGAATCAGTTCCAGTGAAAACATATAAAACCGCTGCTGGCAGACAAACTGAAGCTTTCAGGATGTTTCAGGTAAAATCAGCGCCTGTGGTTGATGGAGTTTGTCGCCCTCCGGTGGCCGCTGACAGGAACTGCAGCTAAACTGTGTATTTCACTATTTGTGGTGTTTTATTTACGGACTTTATTCTGTTTCAGTTTGTTTCTGGATCAGTTCTGTGTGGTTTTGTGTCTCCTGAGGTCTGAAGATGTTCAGGTCTCCAGGTTTGTCTTGCTCTGTGTTTATTTGATGTGTTTTCAGTGTTTCCACTCAGTCGTCAACGTGTCCTCCAGCAGAGGGCGCCGGCGTCCCTCAGAGCGCTG